GGCGAAGTCCACGGTCGGCTTCGCCTCCTCCTCTGGCTCCGCCGCCTCTTCCTCCATGGGATGGGGCTCCGCTTCCAGTGAGTCCTCCCCCTCCTCCTCCTTTGACTGCTGCTCCCTCTTCTCCTCCAGCACACCATGATGGGAACTGACATGGTGTGAGACCCATTAGTCGGGACACTGTCAATGGGGCCTTGCATTGCCTCAAGGAGATACTCGACACCTTATCCCCCGCCACTGGTTTCGCTATCAACTTCCAACCGACGCATGCAGCCCCCAAGCTGTCGTCTAAGACCCGGGATGCCCTCGGATGTTGTGGTGAGGGATTCCCCCCGATCATGTCTTTTGCAGTTGCATCAACAAACACTATTACACTATAAGATACATGTAAGGAACACACACTAAGGGCTCATTTGGTTACGGGGATCCTCCCGGATCCTTGCCTATTCCCTGGGTGGAGAAATGTGACACCTTGGATTTTGCCTTTTCTTTTTATTTGGTTTTGTTGAATATTTATTTTGCAAATGGGTTTTTCTGACAATTCATTTGGACTTAACACTTGGAAATATTTTTGACTTTCTTCCAAGTGAAACCTATCATCCTAAACGCCTCCCAAAATATCATCTCTCTCACTCTCTTCCCATGACCAGGTGAACATGGAGTGGATAGGTGGACGTAGGGGAGGTAGCTGAGTGGCGAGGACATGCTGGGGTGGCGTGAGGGGGAATAATGGGCGGTGGCCGAGGGCCCCAATGTCCAGAGCGCGCGCTCTTCATGTCGAACAGCTCGATCCCGTGTGGTCGCCGCGTGCACTGGCATACACAGTTCTTTTGGGTGGTGCAGACCGTGTCCAATGTGATGTCTCTTCAACGCGGTGTTGTGCAATGCTCTTGGTTTGACACCTAGCTCAAGGGATGTGACAAGAGGTTGCTGCTCATTTGGCTTGGAGGATAGGGCTAAAATTTGGTGGTTAAACATCACTTAGGAAGGTAGTTAAGTGGTAAAAATTTCAGCTTCATTGGATCAAGGAAAAATATACTTGCCTCACAAACTATCATTTCTGTCGAGAAGCAAAAACATTTTTCCTTGCTGAAAATTTACAAAGGACCAATTTTTGCATGGGAAGGTGAGGCATGATCTAAAGAATATTAGGAAATTTTTTTGAGCAAGAAAATTGATGGTTGCTTCATAGTATCGAGGAAAAAATGTCATGAATATAATGCCATAGAGAAAAATTATGGCATGGCAAGAGAGTGAGAGATATGATATTTTGGGAGGCGTTTAGGATGATAGGTTTCACTTGGAAGAAAGTCAAAAATATTTCCAAGTGTTAAGTCCAAATGAATTGTCAGAAAAACCCATATGCAAAATAAATATTCAACAAAACCAAATAAAAAGAAAAGGCAAAATCCAAGGTGTCACATTTCTCCACCCAGGGAATAGGCAAGGATCCGGGAGGATCCCCGTAACCAAATGAGCCCTTAGTGTGTGTTCCTTACATGTATCTTATAGTGTAATAGTGTTTGTTGATGCAACTGCAAAAGACATGATCGGGGGGAATCCCTCACCACAACATTCGAGGGCATCCCGGGTCTTAGAAGGTAGCTTGGGGGCTGCATGCATCGGCTGGAAGTTGATAGCGAAACCAGTGGCGGGGGATAAGGTGTTGAGTATCTCCTTGAGGCAATGAAAGGCCCCATTAACAGTGTCCCGACTAATGGGTCTCACACCATGTCAGTTCCCATCATGGTGTGCTGGAGGAGAAGAGGGAGCAGCAGTCGAAGGAGGAGGAGGGGGAGGACTCACTGGAAGCGGAGCCCCATCCCATGGAGGAAGAGGCGGCGGAGCCAGAGGAGGAGGCGAAGCCGACCGTGGACTTCGCCAAGGAGGACATCATGGCGGATTATGAGGTCGCGCAAGCGACGGAGATTGCGGAGAAGTCTACCATCCTTGAGTCCATCCACGACGATGCCTATGTTGAGGCCAATCGACGCTTCATCCGGTAGCTCAACGGCGACAGTGGACCAAGAAGCCCCACGGCTGTCCACTCCCTCCGGATACTCGCTTCTTGGTCCACTGTCGCCGTTGAGCTCCTAGTGATCTCCTGAATGCGTTGCTGCCACTAGTTCGTTGGATTGTCACCGAAATCAACAACTCCGACGAGCTCCGCCGCCCGCCGTCTCTGGAGACGAAGATCACCTCATCGTCCGTCCACCCGCGCCTACGTTTCAAAAGAACCTAGTTGTGTTGGAGAAGACTAGGAGTATTGTGACACTCCTCTGAACTAAGGCAAGCTGCAAGGATGGCATTGCAATGGCAATGGTTTCATTTGAATTTAATTCATTATATGCTTCACTATTTAAATGATCCACTTTATAAAACTTGTTGCATTAGATTTATTTCTTGTCACATTACTGTTGTAGACAGTACAAGCTCATGTCAAATGCTATGATCTAGTCTGATGTATCCCTTGTTTATGTTCATGTATCATGACCCGTGCACCACATTGCATACTATGACTCGAATCATTTTCATTCAAGTTAAACCTGATAATAATTCAACTTGAACAAACTATTGATCGAGTCATAGTGCCACTGAATCGAGCTCACCAGTGCAACCACACTTCCCTGGATGGGGAGACCCTAATTCGGTCTATTGTCATGCCTCTCGCCGATGCCTCCAACTAGGGAAGGTTATGCGCTCGCGCTACCCTGGCCCGGTAGGCAGACATAACCTTGTGTGCCCGAGTTGTACGGTACCAATGTACCCATTTGGGACGAGTTTGTTTCAGTTTTGCCACGACGGTGGCTGCCACAAAGGTGGCGGATGTCATGAGTTGACATCGGGGCCACCCATGACATAGCCCAAAGGGGAGTTTGTCGGAGTGGCCGGAAGAGTGTCATGCAATAGATTGGTTTTGTTGGAACATCGTTGGTCCACTCAAATGGAAGCACGAGGCCATGAGTTTCATGGTGTAGGTACAATGTACTAACCTCTGCAGAGAGTATAATCTATCGATAGTCGCGTCCTCAGTCATGGACATAGTTCGTAGTAGGTCACGATGTAGGCAATAGAAATAATTAACCTGCACACTTAATAACACCGAGATGGCACAAGCAGAAGTTGGTGATCGTGTGAGGATCACTATGGTTGGTATTGATGTGGTCGAGTGATGATCACGATGGTAAGATGTTGATGGTGGTTGGTAAGTTGGTCTGAGGGGCCATGATAATAATCCACTTGCACATCATGAATGATAGTATCATGTTCATGCTCATTCATTAACCTGTAAAATGCCTTGTTATTGTTTGTCGTGTTTGATTTGTTTGTTGTAAGCTTGCGAGTACATTCAAAGTACTCACCTAGCGTGTCATGCCAGATGCAGGAGAAGCCGTGCAAGGAGTTGATGTCGATCAGTACTTCGCGTTCTAGGCCGTATCCCAGCAGTGTCCTTGTGGAGTGGAGTCCCTCTACTCCGTCTTTCCGCTGCCAAGTAGGAGTTTCCTTATCGTCGAGGCCCCTAAGATATCTACTAAATAATGTACATAAGTGCAGCCGCACCGTGTGTGCCGCTTGGCCTCGCTTGTCATGTAATATTCGAACATTTGTATCCGCAAGAGATCAATAAAGTGGTTAATTTATGTACCAAATTGTTGTGTGTTGCCAGAAGACTTGATCTCTGGGCTGGCAATGCAAGGTAAACCGGTTGCTCTGAGTCGGGGTGCCATAAGAAACCACGGGATGAATGACCACTGTGTTTGGATGCCCACAAGATTGGGGCAGCGCCGCCCCTTCCACGACATTTCCTTGG